AAAAAAAAAAGTTCTTATAAAAGAGAGAACAAAAAGTCCCACCTGCTGCCCCTTTGATGAAACTTCCCAGGTTTAACTTATATCCATCTGACTCTGGGCCAACAGAGAAGGAGGAGTAATGGGCAAAGACCTTCTGGCCTTCAAAATCTTCCATGTCGACCTTCAGCTCATAGTTCTTGCGTTGGGTTAGCAGATGCATTGTCTCCAGGCCTGGGAAGATAAAACAGTGAGCAAGTGTGATCATCTGAAATAAACTGTTTTAGACAAATTTGATGAGTTTGAGCCGATGTTATTGTTGTTAAGAAAGGAGAAAATGTACAATAAAATAATTTAATAACAGTAAGGTTTATTGACTACTCAAAATACGATCAATCAGAAGTAAAGGCAAATTTAATCCGAAAAAAGAACGATGAATTTTACCCAGCCAGTACTCTCCAGCAGCGCTCCCAAATCCGGTTTTGTAGTGCTCCCACTTCTTGAAGAAGTTCACTGTGCCATCTTGTCTTCTCTGAATCACCTGGATTTAACAGAAGTTTCACACAAACTGTCAGTAAAAGGCAAATTATAGACCCCCCCAGCAAAAGGACTCCTTTTAGCTTTGCTAACTTCACACAAGGTAACTAAAACTAAAAGGTCTTCTGGTGCTTCTCCCTTACCTTTAGATTTAAATATATCTGTGTATAGAGATGATCCTTGAATAAAACCAGTCACCCATGAGCATAAAAAGATATTTAATACAAAATTCTGACTGTGTTAAACATGAATTTTTGAGCCAAGATGTGTGAAGCAGTTCATAAAGTTAAAATAGGTAAGTTCTGGCCAGATCTCTTTATCTCTTATTTCAAGATCAAATTCAGAAGAGGTAGATTAGTTTGGAAAAAGAGGGCTGAGCAATCCTCACCGTCCATTTTTCTGCTGAGTTGTCGATGTCGTCTTTGCTCATGTCACAGTAAACCTGCACAGGAGAGGTGGAGCCAGCTGGATAGATGGTGTATACTCCATCCACGCCTGCACCACCTCTGTAGATGTCACTACAGTCTGTGGGCAGAGGGGATTGATAAGCTGCTGCAGGCAGCAGCACTGCAAACACAAGTCTGATCTACAGCAAAGAAAAAATAATGTCTGTTAAGGTTTGTACCAGGATCATGCACATTACAGATGATACCTTAAGCTTTTAACATTTTCATAACACAAGGAGGCAAGCGGTTTTTAGTGCAAGTGCTAGTGCAAGGTTTTTCTGGAGCTAGTTTAAAGATGAAATGATTTTCATAGTATTAACCCTCAAACTGCACTGAAGATATATTTATTTGTCATGTTGTGTGGACTTATTTGATATCATATTAGTTGAAGATTTGGTGTGAAGTACACAGAGACTTTACCAGGAGAAATTATGGTTGCTGGGATTAGGCCTGTAATCTGTTAGTCATGAGTCAAGCTCTATTATCTCTATATTTGATTGCTTGGCTCTCAGGTGGTGCTGAAGAGATCTGTCCTCTCTCTATCTCTAGATCCTCAGTTAATGAGTGCTCTGCTCCTGCAGTAGACTTGACTCTACTTCTCTACTTTGCCGTCTCTAATTTTATTGGAGAAGGTGGCAGTGATGCAATTTAATGATCTTGCTGGAGTAAATATGCAGTGCAAGGCTGTTTGACACAGTTTTAAAATGGCTATGATTCTCCACAAATTTGCTCAATGGTTGTGTCTCGGACAGAGATGGGTACTTGAAAAAAGTAATCTGATTACTTTTTTTCAAGTAACGAGTAAAGTAAGGGATTACTATTGCAAAAACGGTAATTAGATTACCGTTACTTTCCCGTAAGCACGCTGCGTTACCACGTTACTAAAACCGTGATTTTTTT